TACATCACCCAATATTATTCAAGGTTCTTCTCACCATGTTCCAGATAGTCCGGACTCTAGAATACCTACCTTATCCCACCGGTTGTTACCGTCACAACAACTACCTGAGCGGGCAAATTCCCTTCTTTCTACACCACATCACGCGCCATTTTTATCCCAGGTAGGGATGAGCCGCGACAAGCTCATCCCGACACCCAAGACGTCACCAACGAAAAGCACGCTCTTACTTCTTTTGACCCAGTTCCTACAGCTTCTACAGATGGCCCAGTAGCTCTTCGTGCTCTCTTTATGTCATCCATAAAACTGGGAGACACTGGCCAACTCTTTCTACATTATACTCATAAATGCCAGGTCGCTGAACAACAAGATGCATATTCTACGCCCTTTGGCTATCCTTGCTGCGCCTGATGCAATACTAGTCACCGAAACATGGTTTGGTGCCTCTACGTTCGATGATTCCTTTTTCATTCAAGGCTACCAGCTGTATACACATTCGCGTACACACAAACGAGGAGGAGGGTGTGCCATTTATCTGCAGCAAAATTTCTCTGCTAATATCGAAGTCCTAGATAGCACCAAAATGTTGGATTCTATGTGGATAAGGGTTGATGCCATGGGACCCAAGTTACTACTTGGATGCAATTACAGGGCTCCTGATACATCACCTGTGAGTTACAAAGCGCTAATAACTACTTTTGAGCTAGCTGCGAGCCATCCATGTGCATGCAAGCTTGTGGCGGGCGACTTCAATCTTCCTGAAATCCAGTGGTTTCCACCCACTGCCCCAGCGAAGTATAGTGGGCTATTAGCCTGCATCAACTTGGGAGGATGGGTGCAGCGTGTATCAACGCCGACCAGGTCTAAACACCTGTTAGACCTGATATTTACACTGGGTATATCCAATATACGTGCATCTGTAGGCCTAGAGTTTCCGGGGAGCGACCACAGAGTGGTATACTGCTCGCTGTTTGCAAACATCCCGGCAATGTGTACGCGTAGATCAGAGGCCATTGAGATATACCGGCCGATAAGCTTCATAGACTGGCCCACATTTGCCACGATTATTCGAGCAAGGAACTGGGAACAGTTCTTTCTGTCCGACGCCCTGGAGCAATCGTCCGCAATATTTTATGGCGAACTGCATTATTGTCTAGACCTATTGGTTCCATTTACTCCTTTAAATAAAAGTTCAGGAAACATTAGGAGGCAAACTAAGCTGCATGCAAGACTGAGGCAACTACGACGTTCCTACTACAAGACGTTCAACTTTGCGCATATGCTGAGAGCCAACGAGATTGCGAGCCAGCTATCGTCCAGGTCTGTATTGATTAAAACAGCCCAAGAAAGAGCAGCCATGGCCAGTGCAAACAAAGCCAAGCACCTCAGCTGTCTGCTGCCTTCTCGCACTCCTCATTGTGGAGCAAAGATGACTTCCATACGTGTCGGCTCTTGCAAAGCAAGTGACGATCCACGGACTATATGTGAGATTTTCAACCCTTACTTCAAAGAGTCCCAGTGTAAAGAACTGTCCCCGGTCACTACTGAGCTGGATGTGTCCACACACCAGCTGCTCTCCACGGTTCAGTTCGATCTAAAAGGCATCCGTTCCGCTATCAAAACCATAAAACCATCCACCAAACTTGGTCCTGATGGAATTCCACCCATACTACTTAAGAATGGGGGCGATGACCTTTCCATACTCCGCTTGAAACTCTTCACACTCTCTATGGAGAAGGGCCAATACCCATTGGCTTGGAAGCACTCTATCATCACACCGCGCCATAAAGTGGCTCCGTACAGGAAGTCAGCAACTACCGACCCATAAACCACACATCTATTCTCTCACGTGTGATGGAGAAATCGGTTAAGCGTGCGCTTATGGCCTGCTTGAATGCAGGAGGCCACGTTAGCAGGTCACAGCATAGTTTTCTAAGCGCACGATCCTGCGCAACCTGCCAGCTTGATTTTCTCAACCTGGTCACTGGCGCGATTGATTCAGGTCTGGCGATTATTACGCTATACCTCGATATGCAAAAGGACGTTCGATAGGGTCCCCATAAACGCCTATTACATAAGCTCAAGGCTTACGGTGTAGCCACCCCTCTGCTTGACTGGCTTAAATCCTACCTAACCGGGCGTACGCAGTCCGTGAAAGGTAGCACACTTTGAGTCCATCCCTGTCACAGTTTCCAGCGGTGTTGTGCAAGGCAGCGTGCTTGGACAACCCTGTTTTTGATTTATGTGAACGACATCTGTAGCAGCCTGCGCCATGGTCGCCCATTCCTCTTTGCCGACGATATAAAGGTCGTGTATGTCTTCCCACCAAGCGCCAAAGTATCCGCACTACAAGAGATCCGTGAAGACCTGAAGACCTTATAGCCGTGGTGTCAAAATTGACAAATGACATTCTCTGCTGATAAATCTAGTATTCTGACCCACAAATGCTCCATATCGGATGGTGCGTTTACGTTGAATGGTACGCCCATCCAACTAAAAACGTTAGCTACTGACCTAGGTATTCGCTGTTCTATGATCCTCAACTTTTCAGAGAATGTGCAGTATCAGGTAGCAAAAGCACGCAGAATGGTTTTCCACATAGGCCGCCACATTAACTCGGCTGAAGCACGGTTGGAGCCTTACCGCAGTCATGTTCGTCCGCAGCTGGAATATTGCTCCTTTATCTTCAGTAATTTGCGGAAATCAGACCGCATATTGCTCGAAAGGCTCAGCGGCGGTTTACCAAATTGTAGCCCCACAAGGCCTAGCGCTTAGTTACCTACAGAGGTGTAACCATCTCAAACTCCAGCCTCTATGGCTGCGGCGCATTATCTTAAACTTGTGCTTCTTACATAAGTTAATATACCAAGCGGTGTACAGTGATATCCCCAGCCTGACCCT